CCCCCCCTTTTTTTTTTTGTTTCTTTTTTGTCCCCACTCTCTGCCTACTTCAGTCTAGGGCTTGGCCTGGAGCCCTGCATTATTCAGCTTGACCAAGAACAACCTTTGCTGTTACCACTGAGAGTACAGATCTCATTGTTATTGCTTTCTATCTTACAGTTAATCTCCTTTTTAAAATAAATCATCTCAGTCTGTCTCTGCAACCTTTCCACTTAAACCCCTTTAATATCTCAGACTTTTATATTCTTTTCCCTTTTACAGTTAAATTCCATCTTGAAATTAATCACTTACTGCATCACTTCTGTCTTCTCTTTCACATCTCCCTATCCTTTTATTTCCATCTTTTTCTCCCACCTCCTATTTTTTCTTCACTCGCTACCTAAATATGGCATTGTATCCAATTTCATTACTGTATTCTGCTGCACTGAACAAACGTATGAGTAGTTTGTGTCTTGTTCTGCCTACCGCCTGAAATTAAATACTCCATCAGCCTCATTCAATCCAACAATGGGGTTTGGGGAGGATAAGTATCAAAGAACTTAAATTAAGTGTCATCCCTTTTTACTCTTGGAAAATCATTGCTGAGTGGGTAAATGCTAAAGAGTGGCATGGGTTTATATCAATCTGGCAGGTTTTGTGTCTTGTGTGTGTTTCTGGCTGAGGTCTCGTTACCATTATCCAGCTAATGGGTTTTGTCATGAGAGAAACCTCTCCCTCTGGACAAAAAGAGGAGACATTCATGCTCATGTGATTCACACACACGACAGCTTTACACAAATTAAGCAGATTTGTGTGATCGAACTGCATCATGATTTGCTTTACACTGTGGTATATTAGCATCTAGTCCATCACTGCGTGGCCTTAAATGCTGCATGCCAGTTTTCTGAAAAATAATTACTTGCATTGGGAAAATGGGAAGCACACTACTATCTAGGGAAGTTCTTTACCTAGGTAGTAGTTTTTGGAATAACATCATCACTGTAACTCTTGCTAAAGGGACAGAAAGCAGTGTTTAAATCGGACACATATTCACCTTTGCACTGTTCAGAGCCAATTAATGACTGGGTCTTCTGAATGTGCCATACAATCTATGTGGGTGTCTTTTTTAGTGTCTGGTATTCACTTAATAGTCTTTAAAACAAGTACTATAAAATAATAGGATGAGTCTCAGTTTATAATTGGCAGATTAAGAAGGTACTATTTGAGAAATTTGCCTTACTGTACATCAAAAGGATTAAGCAGTTTTCACCTTGACCAACAACTGTAATACAACAGCTCTGACCAACAAGCAATTAGCTTAGTATCCCTATTTGCCATTGAGCCTGACAGAAACATATATTAGCTACTTGCATTTGAGGTTCTGGATTGGTACCTTTTTTTGACACTTAACAGGAACATTAAGAAACCTGCTGCCAAAGAAACTCTGTGCTGCATATCAAAGGATCTTGAAGGCAGTATTTCATACAGATGTCGAAGTTGTAATGAAGTGGACCATTTGAAGAATAAGGGAGAACGAGTATTTATTTTAATGTTTTTTTAGACTCCGTTTTTATTTCTTATCATTCATACTCAGCCCCAAGATCATTTAGTAATGTCAAGTGGAGACATCATGTTTCATCGTGGAAAATGGGAGTTTCTGTTGTTAAAACAAATACTGGCAGGATGGTTAACTTTGAAAGGCAGTAATTCAGCTTAGCCCTCAAAGTATTAGTTTTTCATCGTTAACTTTTGTAAACGATATGGTGGTTTCAGACAATAAAGAATAAACTAGAGCAGTGTTTCTCAAACATTTTACACTTCATACCACCTAAAAAAATATTAGTCTCTCCAAGCACCACACTCCTGTAGCGCAGGCTGACACAGCAGACCCAGCTACGGACAGTTCACGCAGGGGGCAGATTTAGTCCAATTAGAAGATTATTTATTGTTGAATGGAAGAAACAGGGCTAATTTGGTGGAAAGGGGATACTTCTGAGCCACACTTTTCCTAATAGTTCCCATTTGTAGCCAGACATACTGCAGTGTTTCAGAACCATTTATTTTACATATGTTGACTATCTTGCCATCACACTTTAGCTTGTAACTAATGTTTGTATGCATGTGATATGTGCATTAACGTGACCGTAGCAGGCAGATATTGAAACAAAATATAACAGTAAAATATATTTTTAAATATTTCAGAGATTCCTCCGTGTACCCCTTGAGGCAGTACATATACCATAGTATATAATCATATAATAATATAATATAATCATGATGCATCCTGCCATGTGTCTGCAATATACAATAGCACTTGGTGGGAGCAAGTAGTTTAAAACACAAACATCTGATCTCATTTACAGTATATGCACTTGTTTTCTAAACTGTGTTCAGGAGGAGCAGCTGTACACCTGGGCATCTGTTGGCCTGCCAGTGTCTCATCACCTGTGGGAACTCTACGGGGGGCGAACCACAGGCAGAGAACAGAGCTTGAGATCCCCTTTGCATCAATCATCAGCCAAGACACCAGGAGCTCTACACTCTCAGGTTGGTTACATCCTCTCTCCCTCTATAAATATTTTACAGTATGTTTGTTTACTGTGCATAATGCTTGCTTGGATTTATGGCCTTTTGTTTTACTACTAACATGAGAGAGCATCTTCCTTCTGGTAACCTGCTACATAAATACAGTGCAATAGATAGAGCAAATACTTAGTTTTCTTCTATTTATATTTTTGTGGATGTTTACATCTGTGTGTATTAATTTAAGAGTTAAAAATGAAAATAGGATGTACACACAAGGTAAAAAACATTATATTTAAAACTGTTATCTTTACAACCAAATTCTGTGTTGAAATTATCCATTCAGTGTTATTACATAAATGCATATTTCTGCAATACCCACTTGCTGACTGATAGATTCATTTAATTGAATTTACAAATAAACAATCATGGCATGAAAATATTGCATCTTTTTTAGGACACACAGTTAAGTAAAGAGTTACATACTGTATGTAACACCCAGTGGATAATGCTGTTATTAGTTTGAGACTTGTTCAGTCTTATTTGAATCATATTTAATCTCGATTTCATTTGATTGATCTAAAACAACATGGCCTGTGTGGATACAGTAAACCTTAGTTTCATTACTCGCAAATGACTCTGGATCAGCTTAACGTCTCAACTGTAAATTGTTCTTTGTCCACTAGAGGTCAGGCTTGTCTTGGAGAATTTAGATTATCACAGTGAACCTCCCTGTTTCCTAAAGAAGTTAATACATTAGGAAGGCCATACTGAGTGAACATTCTCCTTACCATTCAACGATGTGACCACAACTGGGGAATGTGTACTAGCAGACGCAGACCCTCCCCATGTGAGGCCCAACGAGACTCACTGTCTCTGGGGTCAAATCTCTCGGTATCCCCTCATCCCTGCTCTAACCAGTCTGGAGCCAGAGGTCTGATGGAGTCTAGACATAATGGACTTTTTTGACCCTTCTTTAGCTCATAGCTCTGTCACTGAGCTCCCTTAGTTGTGGGTGTTTTACTGTTTATAAAGTGTAATTTATTGAATGAAAATGTGTTCAAGATTTAACAGCCTTTTTCATGTCTGTTTTTCAACATTTAGAGTACAAGATAGGCTTGACAACCTTCTATAAAGGAAGGTTTCATGTTGGATTGTGTGTGGACATGTGTTTTATTTTCTACAGTTTGCATTTGTGATCCCTAATGTAGTTGCATGTTAAGTTAAAAGGTTTTTGTTTTTGTGTTTTTGGTTTGCTGACAGACAGAATCCAGTAGGTTGAAGTCAGGTCAGTCATCATCAGAGGATGAAAGCTGTCTCATCCCTCAGCTGGAGAGGACCATTGATGACCTGCGGATTAAGATTGCTGTGTTGCAGGGCCAGCAGGCCTCCTTGGCAAAGGGCAGCTTGGATAATGTGGGAGCTCTGGGCGCTGCCCACCACAAGGCCTCGCAGATGAGAGGAGGAAGATTGGGGAAGATGAGCCAGGAGGTGTCTGTCCAGACCTCGCCTGTGGAGGAGAGGTTTAAGTTTGACGTGCCTTTCAATGGAGGATCTGGCAGCGTGTCGTCCTCTGTTTCATCCTCCATCCCCAAATCTACAGAGAGCTTTGTCTGCACATGTCAGCAGAGGCAACAGAGCAGCGCCCATCATCCTCCGCCCCCGCCTCCCCCTCCTGTCTCTGGAGGTATGCCCCCACCTCCACCTCCACCACCCTCCTCCCACCCTTTTCACCTGGCTTGGATCCTGTCCACCGCCGGCCTCCTCTCCTCCCACCACCACCAGGTACGGCTCCACCCCCACCATCTCCACCGCCAGCATGGGCCCTCTCGACCACCCCATCCGCCTGGAATGGGCCTCCTCCACCCGCCCACCCAGGCTTTGGGCCTCCACCACCACCAGGCCCCATGCCCTCCATGATGGTCCAGGAAGCTGCCCCTGCCAAGGCTGTGATAGAGCCCCCCAAGCCAATGAAGCCACTCTACTGGACACGCATACAGCTGAATGCTAAAAAGTAAGGATATGCTGTATAAAGCGAAGATAGATGTGGATCATTTGCACAAAGGTATTCTCTGAACAGTAGAGAATTGAGAGGAAGCTTGTCCACTTAAGATAAAGATCGATCACGTGCTGTGACGGCAATAGAGATGTTAACCTTGTGGAAAATGAAAGTGATGCAGTCCAGGCATTGTGGTCAGCAGTGAATTGACTTGAACCAGGTTTCCTTTTCCTTAATAAGGCTTGGAAAATTGTAGTTGAACACACATCTAGAAATAGACTACTTGATTTACTTGCAAGTGAGGAACTTGGTAATGAATTCTAAACGTAATTTGTTGGCTGGCTGATTTGACAAGTGTATAACTTTTGGATTTTTCCTCCGCAAAAGATGACAAATGAGTACTCGTAAAACAGCAGAAACATATCGAGAAATGTCAAAAAAGGCTTTTGTGGTGGACTTCAGGGTACTTTTTCAAACAATACATGGCAGATTAAAGCTTGTCTACTTGCACTGTAAATAATTCCTCTTTCCTCCTATATTTAGACCCCTTGACCCACTGGTGTGGGAGAAAGTCGAGGAACCATCTGTAGACTTTGAAGAATTTGTGGAACTATTCTCCAAAAGTGCTGTAAAGGAAAAGAAAAAGCCAATTTCAGACACAATCAGCAAGTCCAAGGCGAAGCAGGTACAGTATGTTTTATAGTTGTGTGTTTGTTCCTTTTTGTTTGTCTTTATATAAAGTATACATACAGTATACTACATCTGTGCTGATATATTACATGCAAACGGGTGTGTGTGCATATACCCCTGGGTCCCAAATATGGCTCTCTTTAGGGCTTTTCCCATCTTCACTCTCACTCCTGTGATGCCCCGTTCCTTTCCATTTCTCTACTCTCTGAGTTCCTTTGAGTGACAGGAGGAACTGCTACAGCCAGACAGTTATTATGTGGTGTGAGCTCTGGCTCCCACCCGACTCCCCCGTGACCATGCAGTGGCACTGAGCCAATGTCTCGCGTGCGGTGAGGAAACCTCACGACGGTGATGACTGTTGAGAGAGAGAGAGAGAGAGAGAGAGAGAGAGGAGAGATGGGAAAAAAAGGAAGGAGGGAGAAGCCTGGGAGCTGTATTTCGTGATGTGGTTCCTCCCATTGTGCTTTCTGTACAATATAGTTTAATAGTCAGTCTGTTTGCCTCCCCAATGCCCTTTATGTCACTCCATCAATCTGCAAGTCAAACATTCGATCTATAATTTAAAGCTACTCTTGTCAAGATTTTTATGTTAATGTACTATTTGCCCAAATTATGTGTCTAAATCACAAATAATGTCGCACCAGGGAAGAAGTTTCACCCTTCTAATTGAGACCCAGTAGAATCGCTCAACAGTTTTTGCTGAGATGAGTTGTTGGTCTCAGGAACAGACATTGGTGGGAAATCATCTTAGTTTATGGGAAGTGATAAATTAAAACTCAACACTAAAATATAAAACCTCCAAAAAAGGTTCCAGTTGAATGAAAGTTTGACTCGGACAATGGATAAACTCCTCTACCCTTAACATAATAAAAAATAATAATAATAACTGAGGGGTTTCTGAAGCCACACAACTTCTTCTGAAACCTCAAAGTTTCTAATGCTGTCTTTGCCATTGCTACATGGTCCATCACAGGTGTGGAGTAGCTGATAGACCTTTCATCACGTTTACTGGCCACTGGGCCAATTTTGGCATTTAACTCTGATGTTTGCTGCTTTAAGGAGCCTTTTTGGCTTTTTTTTTGTGGGCACAATCTTTAATAATTTTATTGTATTTTTAAAGCTTTATAATCTGTTATTTCATATAGAATAAGTAATTATAATGTCAAATAAATGTAGTTGAGTAAAAGTACAATATCTGTGGCGTAAAAGTACAACATCTGTGGCATAAAAGTACAATATCTGTGGCGTAGAAGAGTAAAGTAACATAAAATAGAAATACAACAGTTTTATTGAGTAAAATGAATCCATGTTCCACCAGTAAGTTAGTCCCAAAGAAACTGATCAAATTGATCAAAAATGGTATATGGCCTGATGATTCCCAGCCTCTGTGTTTATTATTTCAGTCTGTTCATAGGTTCACTTGAGTGTGACACTTTTTTGCAACACTTGGTGTGCTTTGGAGAAGTATGTGATCTTCAAGCTGTGAAGAGAGAGTCCTTAAGGGATATGCAGCATGTGCTTGCCACAAGAATGAGTTTCTTCTATGTTTTTTTTTTTCAAAGAATATGCATATACCAGAAAGTAACTTAAGTTAAAGATCTTGTGTATAGAATAGGAGAGAAAAACAACTTGTGATCCAATACAGCACAAAGTCAACAACAATGGGTAACATTATATAAGCTGAGTGAGTTTGCCCTTCACCAGAAAACTACACTTTCATAAAGGAATTCATCTTCAAACACACTAAGTAGCTAGAATAGCCTTCATCGAGCATGTTGACACTCCAGGAGCTGTCAGGTGATTTCTTTGACACTGGAGAGAGAGAATAGAAGGAATTCACTTTTGCACAGAACTGCATTACACCAGTGAGTCAAGGTATAGGAGGTGACACAGGTAAGGGAGACGGGGAACAATTAGAATGAGCGTGCTCTTGTGCTCTTGTGCTCTTGTGCTCTGAATAAGTCAGCTACCACATCATGAAGCTACTGATGTTGTGCTTGTATTGCTAAATTGTGAGAGACAAGAGACAAATTGAGGTGGGTGTGGGTTGAATTCCCTCGGTCATAACTGCATGATACTGCTGTGGATTTTCTCTTACACAACAATGATGCTAAAGATATTGAAGTCAATAACAGAAAAATAAAAACATACAGTACGTAGAACTGTGACTGACCCCAATTTAGAGCCAACTTTGGACATTTCCAGCTCATGAGGACTGGCCCTTGGTGATCAATCCCATCTCCCACTACTTGCAGCTATTCCCATTCCTATGTGTGTTATGAGTTCAGCTGTTTTGCTGATGAGAGAGGACAAGCATGTTCTCCCGGGCTACCACTAGAGAGCAGCTTTGACGTCACTACTCGGCCAGTTTAAAGGCCTCTGCTGACATCCGTATCAGATGTGCAGAAATACTAACACTGACACCCAGTGTCACACGTTGACCCTGCCGTCTGACTGCAGAGAGGTTTAAAAGAAGAGCTGTCTTACAGTATATGCTGCTGTCCTTACAATGGAGGTGGAGTGTAGTTGTAGAATAAGCTGCTAAAATATGTAAGATGCATCTGTTTAGTATTAAAGGTTTTTGGGCTTTTGTTTCTTGGCACTCAATCCAGTAGTGTCTTGCCTAGTGTTTGATTTTTTAGATGCAAAGTGTTTAAAGCTTAACGTTTTCCATCCCACATGAATGAAGATTGAAGGTGGATATGAATGACTGGAGGGCTTTTAATGATAAATCTGTTGATTACTTTCTTAATGAATCGATTCATTGTTTGGTTTATAAATTGTTAGAAAATAGTGATAAATGTTTTTTTCTGAGCAACAGTCCAAAGGCCAATTTGTGATCACAGAAGTCAAAGGAACCCTTCAAATCCTCACAGTTAAGAGGCTGAAAGTTGGGGATGTTTGGCATTTGTGCTTGGAAAATTACTTAATTAATCATTTAGAAAAGTAGTAGCAGATGAATGTTCTGCCAATCTACTAATCCACAGCCTTTCAAAATCTAATACTGTTGGCCAAACAAAAACAGACACAATCAAGACAACTGCACCCCACCAACCCCCACTCCCAATACTTATTTTTGTCACAGTATTGTACTGTATTAATCTTTGTCTTACTCCTATTTGGAGGATAATAATTCTGTAAGTTTTGGAACTACAATTCCCATCATACTTTGGGGGATGTAAACAGGAAGTCTAATGCTGCCATGGAACCAATGAGTTATACTGTGAGCTTAAGCCCCATTTTTGTAGCCTATATTTATTTATATTTTGTCAAAATGACACTATTAAAAGCATGCCAAATTAGCTATTAGCAGTTCCTATTTGCAATATACCCATTGATGTACAGACAATTATTATTGTATTACTTGGTGATGATTCTCAGGGAAATTTTTATAGTTACAGAGTGCCCTTCCTGTAGAGAAAATGTGGTGCAGTCCCCTAATAGGTGCCATTAAATTGGAAAAAACCCCATTATAAATGGATCACAACAATCACAACAACTGCGTGCTGGTGCCACTTTTATGGGTTTTTTTTATCAAACAGTCTGAGTCCGACACTGCTTAGAAGGTTTAAGTAACACTAAATCTGAAAATATGTGTATCATGTCTGTGTGTTTATATTTGACTGAGTCATGGCTCAAAGAAGGAGCGCTATTTTGACGCAAATTGTGGCAATTTGACTCAAAGTGTTTTAAAGTACCTTAACTGCTTCCATGAGCTGAGGCATCCACTGCTGCTGCTCCAGTTGCTGACCACAATGTTACATCATTGGCCAAAGTAAAATAACTATCTTCCTGTTGTTTTTAGAGTATTGGCATGCACCTGTCTTTTTCACCTCACACAGTATCTTTACCTTTTATTCTCTGGCTCTTGTGCAGACTGTTGATTGATCAATGTGTTGATTCTGTAGAAACTGCTGAGTTCAGACTGTCAGGTGATAAGAGTAGCACCCTTTAGATCAGGCCAACTTGTATTAGTAGTTTTAGTTGTAACTAAACTAACTAACTAAGTGCTTGATCCCAAAGTTAAATGAAAAAAAGATTACATTATAATTTATAGTGACTTTTTGTGCCATTCAAAACCATTTTATGTTCAGGTCTCTTTCAGCTTGTACCTCAGGGATTTGTTCCTCACATGTGATTCAGAGCTGTATTGGATTGATGAAAGTCCATATTAGCCAACCCTGAAATGATAAATGGATCAAAAGATCAACATATAATTAATGTGACTTAAAGGATTTCTTTAAACCAAAAACTTAAACACATGGATCTCATAATACTGTTGAAAGACACTGTATTAAATTCGATTTTCAGGGTTGTTTTGTTGTCCTGAAAATGTTCGTCACGAAAATAATTTCAATAACTGTAGTGGCTCATGAATCCAGCTGTGTTTCATTATGAAATACTACTACTGATTCACTGCAAGGTAATTTTCATTTTAGACTTATTTAAAAAGTGATAAAATGTAATCTGTAATATCAGGCAGCTCGACTAGGTACTGATCTGTTTTAATTAAATTAAACATGTTTGTACATTTGGGAGAGTCAGGGGTCAGATGATAAAACATGACTAATGACATATTTGTTTTACTGCCATTAAGCAGCTACCTTAGACTAGCTATCACAGGCTCGCTGTGGTAGTCATTCGGCATCATATCTCGAATGGCCTGTCCCCTAAAGCTGTGGTTGAGCAGAGAAAACGGAAACAGTTTGGGCCTGGTGATATAACTTCCTGTGTGTTTGAGAAGTCTGTGGTCTGTGTGATCTGGTTTAGATGGAAGCGTTCTGTCTGGATCACAGTAGGCTACGGGTTTCCTGTCCTGTCCCTTCACCACTTTGCTGCCCGTTGCACACTTCTGCTTACTCAGGCGAGCTGTGGTTCATAATGGCCCCCTTGGATGCAGTTTTTCATGCATAATAACAACACTGGCTTGATATTCAACTCCTGGCTGTTTGACAAGTGGAAGCAGTTATTATTCAGCCAACATATGTTGATATTTCAGCTTTTGGAGAAGTTGCGATTGGGATACAGCAGTTTTGACTACAAGTGATTGCAGTCCTCCCCCTGCAATTGTGTAAAATACAATGTAAACAAAAAACCCGGAAAATCTCTGTATGTTTAATCAGTCGCAAGACTTGAATTCATGTGATCATAATCCACTTAGCAAATATGCCTCTTGTTGTTTTATTTGCATGACTGAAATATGATGGATGTGGGTGAATTGGAGCAAAAGGAGAAATTGTTAATCATCGTAATTCAGCTAGACAGTATTATAATTTTCCTAATGTTTGCGGCTGAATAGTCTTAAGTGTTCCTCCCACAGAAGTAAACAGACAAAGGAGAGTGATGTTCCTGTCTTTTGTTTCCAGTCAATTATTAAATGCCTCCTCTCTGTGTGTGTACATGTGCATGTGTCGTGGTATTTTGGATATATTTGGAGTGTTAGGTTCTCTTTGGCCTTGTATAACCCTACTGCTCACATCTCTTTGTCTTATCAACTCTTAGGTGGTGAAGCTCTTGAGCAACAAGCGTTCGCAGGCTGTGGGTATTCTGATGTCCAGTATTCATCTTGATATGAAGGACATCCAGAATGGTAAGTGTAGTATCTGAACTCATCTTCCTATAGCTCTTTGAGAAGATTTTGTGACACAGGTTACAGTGAAATAACACAATTGTGATGTGTTTAAACAAAAGTGTAGTTGTTATAGCCTGTATGTTACTACAGTATGCAAGTGGCACTGAAAGCACCACTGTAATGTTTAATGTCGGAATAATAGTAAAGTGATCTGTAAGTACACTAGATTTACTAGAGTTTACCTGTATTTTCTACAACAAAAAGGCATACCTCTGTTGTGTTTTTTACATTATGGCTGACTCAAGAGTATTATATTACATTCAATACAGCTCATCAGTGGTTTTGTTTTTATATTTTTGGGGACCTTTTATTGCCTTTAATAGATAGTGACAGAAAAGGGGGAAGAGAAAGAGAGAGAGAGGCTGACACGCAGCAAAGGGCCAAAGTCAGATTCAAACTCTTGGCTGCTGCAGCAAGGACTCAGCCTTTATACATGGGGCGCCAGCACTACCAGGTGAGCTATCAGGGCACCCCAACATCAGTGTTTTTTATTAGCTACACTACTAGTAGCATGGATTGAGGATTGTCAGTGTCGTTTGGTTAGTCAGTCCACCACTGTGGTCCGGATTGAAATATCTCAGCAACTACTGAGTGGATTGCCATGGAATATGGTAAAAGGATATATTTTACTGACTTTGATTATCTCTTTATTATTTTCCATCTAGAGTCTCCAGCAGGTCAGTTTTCACTCATCCAGTAAAATATATCAACATCTACTTAATGGAGTGGCACGAAAATGTTAATCTAGCACCACAGTTGGATAACTGTTTGTGTTTGTGGTTTTGAGTAAAGTTTCTCAACAACTGTTGGATTAATTGCCCTGAAATTTGGTATAGTGTCCCCGTCAGGATGAAATGTGATAAATATACTTATGATCCCCTCACTTTAAATCTAGTACCATCATCCTTCCATGGGGTTTGCCTTTTTGAACTGCCATGCTGTAGCCCTGAAGGGACAAACCAACATTCACATTTTTTGCATGTTTTGTGGCCACCATAGTTTCTCCTTCACACTTTCAAGGGGAGAGTAAAGCTATAGAGTTGCAATCTACAACTACACTGCTTGATGCCAACTCATTGTAAGCTGGGAGACACACACAATAAGTCAGACAAAGTCATGATACTAAACCCAACTACTACTTTAACATTTTAGTTTTTATGTTAACATTTTTTGGCAACAAACCATCTAAAGCATACTGAACAAACATACACTGACACTCTTAAACTATGTAACTAATCTATTTTTAGATAAATTTCTCTCCACAAAATTAAAATTTGGCCAGAGATTGTTTTGTTTGTTTTTAGTGTGCTGCTATCCCTGTTCATAAGGGAAGGAGTGATTGGCTGAGCTCATTGCCAAAGCTTCATCCTCCCTCTAGTAGTTAGCTTTATAACAAGTCATAATGTTGCAAGGCATGTAAAATGTTTTTCCTTTGTTACTCTCCTCCCATCTGTTTTTCTTTGCTCTCATTTTGCATAATCTCTCCCCACCTAACATCCACATAATGTTTCTCCGCGGCTCTCTGTCTTTCTCTGATGAGTTGTCACCATCTTGTCTAAACGGCTTTGTTAAAGTGAAGTCATTCAGGAGATGTTGATGGGAACAGACTGTTTTCCTGTTTTAGTTACTCTCTGATTGCTCTCCAGTCTTCGCTCATCCATGTGTCTAAACACTCTTCTTCGTGTCCACATCCTATTCAATTCTCCGACAGTAGAGCCTTTATTGCTGCTTAAAATCTTTATCTCAACGTGCATGGCAGCTGGGTAGATTACATTAAAATAAAAGTGTTCCACAGAAACCATGGATGAACAAATGAATAAATTGTTACTTCTACTTTCAGCCTTCTACTGTGTGTTTCTGGCCTTGATGTCAGTCCTTGGTGCATCCATCTCGGGTCAGAGTGGGAGGGCAAGTTAGGGCCACTCTCATCAGCACTGTCATTCATCTCCTATGTTAGGACAGTTTTTGCTATAGTACATAATTAGCGCTGATTAGAAACTTCAGTATATCATTGGAAAGTAAGATCAGAGGTGGTTTGGTGTAATAATTGTTATACCTCAAAACAGTGAGATACCTACTGCCTTGCACAAACAATATAACCCAAGAAATTGTTTTTTGTTAACTTAGCAATGCATTTTTATTGAATGATTATTAGGCGTGAATAATTATAGCCCTAAAATACTCATTAGTTCACATAAAGAACAAAAACTAAAAGACAACATATTAGAAATGCTTTTGTTTTTCCATTGCTAAAATGATCTCATTTTCCCTTGTGCTGTTGGAGGTTAAAGATGATTAAAGAATTGAAGGATAATTTGTTTACAGAGATAGATTCATTCGTCAAAATGTTGTAATCGTCCCTTTTGGTGTAGTGAATCATTGTTTAATTTCCTCTTGATTCCATGATGAAGACAGTGACTAGCAAAGCCCTCATCACTTGGATATCTCTGACTTGAAGAAAAACAACCTCTGAATCACTGATTTAGATCATGTCTGTTTTATGACGGCCCCATTGCTCAGTGAGGAGTCAACACATTTCTCTTTTCCTCACAGCTGTTGTTGTTTGTTGTCAGACTTGGCCGACACTCTGCATGTTTCATAGGACACTTCCATGCGGTGTCTGCTTCCTGTGAGGCTTTGGAGCGCCAGTCACAGTATTAGATGGTGGTTGCCGGCGCCATGCTGGGGTTGAATGTGGTAGTCGGGTTAGACCCAGGCAGATGGGTCTGGCTTTTGGTCATAAGAGGTCTGTGTCAGAGCAATGATACGGTTTTCTCCCATGTCTTTTAAAAACCATCTCCAATCAAATCAGCCAGCCAGACTTTGGTTCAGATAGTAATGAAAACCAAATGGTTACAACGAGAAGAGTGCGAGAAACAGAAAAGGGGAGAGTCAGAGAGAAGGAAGTTATTTCTGTGGTGGCTTTGGAAGAGGAGAGAGTGTGAAGAGGCTATAGGGTGAGAGCAAAGAACTTGGAAAGGAGTTGAGTTGCTCTTGTGGCACACATGTGAAGGGATTAATGAAGCTACAGAATTATATAAGGAGAGATAAAGCAATATCAAAGCTAAACACATGAGACAGAACTGACTGGAGCAGTACAACAGTTACTTGAGGCAAATGCTTGTCCTTTCTCTAATTTTGTTTTTCTCATGATCTTCTTTATTCGTGTTTCTTAAGTTAAGTTTGTGTTGGTGAAAAGCCTATAAGAAGTCCAGCACTATTCAATGTCCAAGCATAATATGTGATGGAAAGTGAACATTGTGCATTGAGTCCATTACTCCAAGTTGCTTTATCCCTTCTGACACTAGTTTTTTCCCCTGCACCTCAGCAAATCAGCAGATCAAAACAATGTGAGTAATTTGGACACCCACTGCACGGTGAAATACACATATAGGTGTCGAGTGCTTCACTGGGTGATTGTGCATACAGCAACACCTCAGCCTCAACACCGCAGACCCCCAGGCTCTGTTTGTCTTTAAACATTTACTTTCAAAGGATTAATGCTCACGGGCGCCAGGTCCTCGCGCCGAGACAAAAAGGCGACACCAGGAATTCAAACACAGGAGTTCAAACACAGATCTTTGTACCTTTGACAGATTTCTAAGACCTCTTTATTTATGTTTTATTTTGTGGCCTCTTCTATGCTATTGTGATGAGAGCTGATATCTATGTAACTCACAGCATACGGCACATGACACTTTATGTCGGCCGTACAGGGAGAATTCAGCCCTTGTTTCATGGCACTTTTAGCTCCAGCAAAGCAAAAAAAGAAGCTGTTCTGCCAATAGTTGTGATCGTTGTTTCAGCCAAATAAAAATGTTTGATGTCTGTTGATTATGAAAGTCAAGGCCTGTTTGTGCTGGTTCAATTTATGTTAATGGTGATTGTTAATTGTTAATGGTGTTTGAAGGAATCAGATAAATGTTTTAGTGTTAACATTCACAATAACCGTGTCATTTATTCCTTCCGTCCGCAGCGGTCTTAAATATGGACAACACTGTCGTTGATCTGGAGACTCTGCATGCCCTCTATGAAAATGTGAGTATAACAACATGCTGTAGCACTCCTTGGAATTGGAGCTATGTCTTTATGGTTACAACAGTAAC